CGAGTAAATTTTACAGCCAACACTTTTGCGTGTGTCCTGAAATTTAATAAAGATTTTTTTTACTTATTTCTCTACTATGATAGAACTTTCAATATACAGATGGATTGATATCTTTTGAAACAGAGTACGGCAGGCCTATTGTGAAGGAAAATAGATAGCCTAAAGCGAGCACCAAATTCTAAATCATCGCTTAATAACTTAACTTCTTTTTTAGTACTAAGCAGTAAGGTACGCCTCTTCACCTCTTCATGTCCGCGGTAGTTCACAAATTCTGGTAAAGTTAATATGGTTATTATATGGTTTAATTTATTTACACCTGAATTTTTCTCAATGCAATGCTTCCTTATATCGCAAATATCGTTATCGTCAAATAGAGATAAAATGGGCCTTCGATTTAAGAACTTTGATGCAAGTAGGCTCAGTTCATAAATAAGTCCATGGGTCGGTTATTGTTATTGACAAATTGACAAGCCTTTGTAATGGCGATATTCGCTAAGCAACTGTATTCTCTGACGCGGATTAGGCTGTACCACGTTTCAGGAGCTGGTGTATCTCTGAACGATGTGAAAATATTCAAAGCACGTTGAATCGATAAGCAACATACCGCTTGTATACATTCTGCAGTTAGTGTTACGAATATGCATACATCGATAATGCTGAGGTTTTAGCTTTTCATTCAGAAAAAAGCCATTTCTATTATACTACGGTACGGTACTTACTTACAGTATTCTTATGAGCTCTTTGTCCCTTAATTAGTGACTATATAAGCCCCTAAATAAAATTGGCACCTGCGGTTTAAACTGAAAAATATTACTTATTTTGTTAAAACAAAGTAACCACCGTTATTATTGTTAAATGTTGCCATAATTATAACTGCTCTTCTACTTTCGATAATAGATATTGGCGTATGCAAGAGAAAAGCTCGTGTATTTTTTTCAACAATTAGACCATCATAATACTATCATATTTTTTTGCTTCCATACCTAACCATATTTATATAGAGTACCTAACTATTTTTATGACTAGGTTTGGTAAAATTAGTAAATTTTCAATTTTAGTAAAACGTCGATTATTATTTAATTTTTACTAAACATTTTTTGCTTAGTACATATAGTCCAGCGGTTCTTTAAGTTACCGACAATTTTTTGTTGACTTAGGCATACATAAAGCTCAGTAGCATCATACATAGTCCAATAATTTAAGAAATCAAACGTTTACTCAATTTTATAGATCACTAGCACTCCCAGCAATAAGCCTGCGTTCCCTTTCTACCTATACAAAGCTCTAAATAAATCCCTATTTCACTGAAACTGTAAATGTATGAGGTTCGCACTTCAATTCAAATACATTATGTAGTGCATTTGCATAATTGGTATTACACTTGTTACATTTGCTAGTTCGCAAATTGCCTGTTCTGTTGTGTACTAAAAACTAAAATTAGGAAAGGAACTACTATATAGAAATCATGGAAAACGTTCCGAAATGAATCAGTACATTATATGTAGCTTAATAAATGTAAATATTGCCAACACTCACACCAATTAGCCTAGCCCCAAAGTAAGCAGTATAAGGCATGTGTATTATGGGATACTAGGGTAACGGATAGAATACATATATACTGTACACGTATCAGTATATTTATATTGAAATACATATTACTGGAGTACAAATGCTCGTATTCATCAAACATCTGCCCCCACTGAGATTCGAACCAGGGACCACTCGAGTCGGCGACACCATGAAACCCGGCGTACAAACCACTCGGCCACGGAGGTCGTCGTCGAATAAGTTCTTGTGACCAACCAAAGAACCTATAAAATGTTCAAACGTAAAAATTAACATACAGTCCATTTATAACAATATTGTTAACTATGCACCTTTCTATACTAAGTTAAATACTTACATTATAAGCAAAAAATAAGTAATAAAAAAATATTTAAGTGGAGTACTTCGGCACGTAAGTCTTGTCGTTGCTTGAAGGTTCTAGCTACATCAGAAGCACTCGCAACTCCGCTCTCTATGCCTTTTAAGTGGGTGGGTGAATGCTCCTTTTATACACCTAACTTAACATAGACTGCATTCAGAGGCGTTTTTTTTAATCTGCCGTCCAGCCAGCCACTTACGGTTTCATTCGACGATTCATACGACGCATAATCATCATCACCCTATTAATTTTCACACTGGGGTACAAGCCATCCCTACTGATGGAATAGGGAGATTGTGCCGTGACGTTACCCACTACGAGGGCCCAGTGCGGATTGGTGGGTGCTAACGACTACAGATGCAGCCGGGATCAACTTAAAAGTTAACGTGCCTTCCGAACCGACCACTGCGACAGTTGCTCAACTTCAACGATCGCAGCCGAACGCGCTAACCACTTGCGCCATCAAACACCTCTAATGACGCATAATACGTTAAGATATATAATTATAATTATGATGTGTAGCCTACACAGTGTAGAATAGACACGTCCGCCATCATCAAATTAATTGCGAGCGTTCTCTATCGATTTCAAGCACACATTTACGAGTTACATGAACTTGTGCATAACACTATGTGCATCATGAGTTTGCACTGCGAAGCCGGTATACGATCTAGACTTTCAACATTATCTGGAACGAAATCGATGCAATCAGACTACGTATATTGTTAAATTTCCTACCAGTTGAAGTTTTGAAGCATCAACTCAGTTTGAATCGCAGTTGTGAAACCTACCTAGCTTTAAAGCTATCATGCTCTAATAAACTTATAACTAAAGGAGAACGCGTTATTGTGCACGTTTTGGTATCATTTTTGCACAGCTTTTTCCTGTATTTTTGGTATAAATTTCCGGTAAATATTATATTTTTAGAAGAACGGGTTAAAGTTAAATCCTTAAGTGAAATCATAATACAAAAACTAGAAACGAAACGCATTTTTAAATAGTTGAAACTAAACGCGAACCGGTGAAACTGCTGTGAGACTTGCCATGCGTAAAAATCTAATTATTGATTTTGAAATCGATACTTGTATAGCTAATACATGTTAATTTATTTTATATTTTAGATTAATTGATATTTCGCATGTGCGCGCTCGCTCTAAGAGCGGCATTGCGGACACTGCCACTAATTGCAACACTCTCAATGGTGTCGATTCTGGCATGATTCTCTAAACTTAAAACTAAATTTAACATCAGTCTCTCCTTTTCATTCTGTATAGAGAATGACAAGGATATACTGCTGTCAAATTTAAGTATAGGTTTAGAGAATCATGCCAGAATCGACACCATTGTCATGTTAGCAAAATAAATAAACAATAATGGCGTCTGGAGGGGGGGGGGTCTATCCCACTCCCCCACCACCACTAAAGATTTTCAGCGGCAATGCATGGCTTTTTTTTAAATTAACCTAACCTAAAAATTATTTAATTTTTTAGGATGCAAGGACTAGAAAAGTAAGAAGCAGAACTTCTGCCTTATCTCCGGTGCTGCGGGAATAGCAGCCCCTGCGCCTTTGCGTGACAAAGTCACAAGCATCACTCTCCTTCACACCTTCGGCTTGTTGGTCGCCACCTCCAGCAGGCGGGGGCTGCCCTCCCTCCGCGCCTCCGGGCTCTAAACACACTTTAGGGGTAGGGCAGACCAAGACCACGGAGTGTCGGGGTTGCCCAAGTCGGTTCTGAATTAAATATTGTTGTAAAGCCTCATTTACCTTTTTTTTCTATGTGTTGAGCCCATACTATTCACCAAGTAAATAAAAGCAAATATAATTTTTACCGACGAACACAGACTGCCTGATGGATCTTAAAGAAACACAAAATTGCGGTATATCTATCATTTTGACAATAGTACCAACATAGTAAACTTATTTTTCCAACTGACTACGAGAAAAATGTTATTTTTGCATGATTAAATAGCAGCACTGATCAAAATAACTGTCAAAATTGACTTAAATCTACAAAAATATTGATTTTCAATATTTTTTATCTCGAGTTCCATTCGTTTCCGCCAAAAAAGATTCCGTTTACGTGTTTCTAATAATTAATACTTTGCGAGGCGAAAATTCCAGCTCGCTACTCAACCACAGCTAATGGAAAGCTGAGCCAGATACCGCGCTGTCTAAAAACAAGAACTCCGTTAATGCGGCAAAACATTATTGTAGTATTTTCAATGTGCTTAACTAATTTCAGATACAATCTAGATATATTAGATTCTGAGAGGTGGCAACATTACGTGTCTGTCGTGTCGTGTCAAATTGACAGAGGGAGTGACGGACGGACGATTAATGAACAACTGTCATTTCGATGACTGTACAATCAGTGTTTCCGCCTTGACTATAATTGTTTTTGTGATAATAAAAGTAAGTAATAATCTGAGTTTTACTTTATTTTGGTTATTAATAATAAACTAACGTATAAAAAATCGACAAACATATTGTAAGACGCGTATAGTAGGTATTCATCAACAGTCGATATTGACGTCATTAAATTCCATCTCAAATCAAACGATTTGTTCGTTTAAATAATGTAAATTCAACATCCAACGTTTCCCATTCAATTTATATTCAATTGGTAATTATTTTTTTGAAAATAAAGTCTACGTATAACCTATGTGTTGAACGATGAGAACTAGTTCTCGTTTAACTAGGTTTTTGATATCTCGGTTTATGCATGTTATTGTGTTTCTACACAATAGTGTGCAATTGACTATGTCTTTACCGTGTTCTAAAATGTAAGAAACCGCACAATAATGACATTATGACACACGCTTTTGACTATTTTAAACCATGGTTAATTAGAGACTATTAGGAATATATGTCATCTTGATTGTATGACGCCCTAAATACGGCTCTTCATTTAAATTATCAAAATATATTACTATCACATACTGCATGTACTGCTAACTTTTGTAGATAACACTGATAGATAAGATAATATTAGTACTTGCATATCTCAATCTTGTGTGCTCTGTAAACTGAATGTAATAATCTGTTTGATATTGTTGTAGGTAATAGGGTCCCAACATGTCAACCCAAGTTCAAGCGTTGTACGACTTCACGGGTGAGCCTGGTACTACAGAAATGTCAATAACTTGTGGTGAACTATTGACACTTATAAATACAGAAATTGGCGAAGGCTGGTGGGAAGGAAGAAATTCGAAAGGTGAAACAGGTCTCTTTCCGGCTGCATATGTGAGAAAATTGGCTGCAGAGGATTCTGAACATACTAAGGCAGCTCCGGCGGCCCCTCGATATGATCAAGCAGCCGATGATTGGGGTGACCAACAGTATAGTGCTGGTGATAATAATTATCAACGAGGAACGTCCCAAGATGATGGCTGGGATGATGATTGGGATGATGACACCTATTCCGAAATAGGTCCGGCACATCAAAACAAAGCTCATCACAATCAACAAGCACCATTGGCCCCTCTTCCTGGTATGCCAATCAATGATTACAATCATCAGATTGATGAAACAGCTTCTAACTTTGGATCAACAGTGGGAACAGTTAGAAAAAGCAAATTTGCTCCTTCATCAAAAGTCAGTGGAGAAAGTTATCTTCTGGGTACTTTAAATGTTGATGTGCCTGACTCTGACAAGGTTTACATAGTACAAGATGAAGAAGGATATGTTTGGTCACCTCTTTCGCACCCTTACTCAGTAACTGTTGCCTCTCCTAAAAAAGAATCTAAATTCAAAGGAATTAAGAGCTTTATAGCATATCAGTTAACACCATCATTTAATAATATACAAGTATCAAGAAGATATAAGCACTTTGACTGGTTACATGAGAGATTACAGGAAAAATTTACACTCATACCCATACCACCATTGCCAGACAAACAAATATCAGGTCGATATGATGAACAACTCATTGAAAGGCGAAGAGTGCAACTTCAGGAATTTGTAGATTGGATGTGTAGACATCCAGTTTTGTCCAAAAGTGAAGTATGGCAGCACTTCTTGACATGCACAGATGAAAAAAGATGGAAAGCTGGCAAGAGACAAGCTGAAAGAGACAACTTATTAGGTTTAAATTATTGTATTTCACTAGTTGTACCTGAAAAAGCTTTATTGCAATCACAAGTAGATCACATCACTGAACAGTGCCACACTTTTGTTGCTAGTATGGATACATCGGTAAAAGCTGTAGGCAACATGTGTATAGCACAAACAAAGAAATTCCAAGGTCCATATAAAACTGACTGTCAGAAAGTTGGTGAAGCATTCTATAACTTAGGTAATGCCCTCAGTTTAGATGAAGGCACTATAGTTTCTACCTCTAAACTAACATCAGCCATTAAACTAACTGGTGGAGCTTACATAGAAATTGGCCGCATGTATGATGAGCAACCTAAATATGACTGGGAACCATTGGGTGATAAATTTCATTTATACAAAGGAATTGTAGGTAGCCTCCCAGATGCTCTTGGAAATCACAAAGCAGCTGTTCAGAAAAAGCGAGAATGCGAAAGATTAACAGCTGAAAACAAAATGGAAGTGGCACAATTAAATGAAGTATTGAGAAGAACCGATGTCATATCTTATGCACTTCTTGCCGAAATCAACCATTTCAAGGCTGAACGAACGACTGACATCAAAGCAACAATGCAGAAATTCCTCAGACAACAGATAACATTTTACAAAAAGGTTGTGGATAAGTTGGAGGCAACTCTTCGACAGTATGATGAGTAAACTTAGTGTAGTGGAACTGTTGTGTTAAATTATTATAATAATTGTGTAAATGGCCTTGGATATTTCTTGATTACTTTTCTATTAGGTTTAAATTATTCTGTAGAAAATTAATATTATTATTATTATACTTTTATACACATATAATTGTAATCCAAAGGATTAATTATAAACATTGGGTGTAAGGTGGAAATGAATTTACTTGTGATGAAATAATGGACTGAATGCTAGATGATTACAATATGATACACATTCTACTAGTTTTTACAAACAATGCTGTATATATTTTCTTGCAACGAAGACAATCTTTATGAATGATTATTTTTTCTATGGCATATACATTTTTATTATTTTAAATTGTACTAATCATGGAATTCATTTTCTTTTTGACATTTATTTGTCTAATATTTAGATTAAGTGTTGTATTATATTCCACTTTTATAAGATATTTTATAGGCCTTGCTAAATAAATAAATAATGTAATTTGATAAATGTATTTTATTTAATTCAAGTTACACCATTTTTGGGCAACAATATAATTTTTGATTTCGAATCCATAGTGTAACAAACTTAAGTCACTTAGTAAGTAGGTACTCTTATTACCATATTCCGTAACTTTACTGTAATACAGTAAATTTTTAAAATATTCTTTTCTTTCTTTTCAGGAATAACTTCAAAAGCTCTGTACCTAAGGTCTGCTTGAATGAACTTCTTGGGGTGAAGGCGTCTGATGTTCCAATTTTCGATATGTATGGGTGGAGATAAAATAATCTCTTGAATGAGAAGGTTAATATACATAGAAATATGGCCGAGGAAAAGAAAAAGGATGGGAACGCACTCTTAGGGAAAAAGAAGAAAATAAAACCGAGGAAGTCGCGTGACGCTGACTGCTGCAGTGTCAACTTCTTGAAGTGCGTTCTACACATCTTCAATGTGGTGTTCCTGGTAAGTCTCTGTAGTTTTTGTTTATTCTATATAATACCATATTTTTTATGTATGTCGTAGGATGATTTGATTAATTGAATGATCGCGAAAATCCTAGGGATTTTGTGAAAACGCGAATAATTAGACAATGACTATGACATTGTTCAATCTTACTGTTACAAAATCAACAAGTGAAAATTCGATTTATAAAATCATCCTACAACATTATACATTTATAGAGCCCTTGTAGAATATGGAATACCTACATTTCATGTAGCGATCTCTTTCAATATTTTTTACAATTTTCAAATATTAAGACTGTTATTAATTGTTTGAGATCAGGCTAATTGCTGTGAATGTTCGACAAATTTATTTATTATTTTTTGTAGTCTGAAATAATTAAATGCTGTTCTCCCAATGCAATTTCATTCTTACATGTAGCATCAGTAAAATTTATGAGCTTTATATAGTAGAGGTCCATAGAGCTTTTAAATTTCATGAAGAGAAACATGCGTTTCTCTTAACTTGCAATGAAATTTGACAAACTTAACCTACAATAAATTTTGACTTCTGGAGGGGTGATTTTTTTTTTTTTAATTAATGATATGGAAAATCAAAATTCTAATACATTATGTTACAACAAAAACATATTTCTGATGTCGTAGTAATTAATTTGATCTAATTTATTGAACATTTATTTATAGATTCAGGCGTTTAAAGTTGTGCACATTATCGTTTTTTCCGTAAACTAGCTGTGGTAGAACGATCAGTACAAAAAAAAACGAAAATAGTATTTGCAAATATTCTACATTAACTTACAATAAGAAGAATAAATCTACTGTTTACTTCTATTGGAAATAGTCAAAATCTGTTCTAAGGGGGTCAACGAGGCGCTCAAAAATTAGGATATTTTGCAAAAAATGTGAAAGGGCTCTTAAGAAGATGCAACTCCAGTTTGCAGGCGTCGGCGTGCTGGCAGTGGGTGCGTGGACAGTAGCGTCGCGGCATCGTTTCGTCGCGTTGCTACCAACTCCCACATACCCGGCGATAGCGTATCTCCTAATAATCGCGGGCGGTCTGGGCGCGCCACTCTGCGCACTCGGCTGCTGCGGACTGAAGACTGAGAATAGGACGAGCTTGTTGTGTGTAAGTGATCTGCATCTATTCTATACTAACAGCTCTTGTTTATATACAGCACTTTCTTTGTTTTCTCCCAGTAGGGGGAGTGGGTTTGAAATCCTCATGGATACCCTACAGCTAACGACCAAGTGCAATTGGGCCATTAGTCATTCATTGGCACTCATATTCGGGCTATCGATCAAGTGCCATCTCACCATTAGTCGTTTACCCGAATTCCATTGGCACTTTTGGGCTAACGACCAAGTGATATCGCGCCATATGTGTAAATCAATGGAGTCCCGTTAGTTACCGTATTCCAGTGTAAATATTGCTTCAGGTGCCCGAATTCGAGAAATGTCTTTCGTGCGCCCGAATACGGGCTAACGACCAAATGTAATGTAAATGTATCGACGACTAGAAAACTAGTGAACTCTTTCTACAAATTCGAGCCAACTGCATATCTCAAATGAACTTTATTACTTTTTAAAATGTTTATTTCTTTTTCGTTGGCTGACCTACGTGAACTATGTGGAGCTGTTATATTAATAGAATTGGCCCCAATTTAGTCGGATGTAACACCTGTGTCAATGGCCTTGAATAAGACATTATTTAGGCTTCAATACCAGTCAAACTTTGCAGTAGATATACATTTCAAGGCCTTTCTTTCGTTTTCTCACCTAAGATGTTTAAATTTGGTTAGTAGGTTTTTTATTTCTTATATCCCCATTGTAGTTTTTTTTTATGGTAAAAAAGATGCGAACAAGTGTATGGCACACCAGATGGTAAGCTGCCACCATAGCCAATGGATGCTTGCGATCAGTGCCGTCTTTGACCTATTGGAGGCCCTGGGCATATTAGGATAAAGGGGCCTCTATGATTTCCGTTTGGTGATTTAACAGAAACTAGGGACTTTGTATTTGATCTGAGGGGGCCCCCTATCGATCGCGGTGCCCTGGGCACTTGCCCATAGTGCTCAATGGGAAAGACGGCTCTGCTTGCGATATCATATCATTCGATCTGTTGCCTACCCTAACCCAATCCGTGGAGCCCTGAAACCTTTCTCCCGACTGACAGAAACCACCAAAAAGTAGTGTTGTTTTACTGTTATTGTCTGTGAGTTTGAGGTTACTTCCCCGGACAAGGAGGCCTACTCTATTTCGACGAAAAACGAAATTTCGCACGTTTCTTACTCTATTTCTTTTTAGTAGTAGAGTAGAGCTCCAGCGCTCCAATTAGGGCGAAAATTCCGCTATGCCCTACCTCTCTTCAGCAGTAAGATAAATGATTGTGACAAACGATTAGGTACGAAATGTTATTACATACTTACATATAATCGTATGAAAAATATGAGTAATCAAAATAGTTTTCATTGATAACAATGCAATTGGTAGATATAATCATGGAATCACCTTGCGGGTGCGCGGCCAATCGGAAACTGGTGCCGCACTAACACCTCCCGGCGCGCATTGCGGGGACCGCGGTCCTAGCAATGCGATTCGAGTTATATGGTGCAGGAGTATTGTCTAGTTTTTACCGCTCTGGTAGTGCCCTGTCCATTTCATGGAGCTTTAAGCTGGGTGAAATGTACAATATCCACTTTTGCACAAATGATTGCCGTACTTGCCAGTAGGCCTTTTCGCTAACTGCTTTTTATATATATATATAATATATTTACCGAGCTATTTAGTGATCCACTACTGCTGTAGGGGCCATTACTAGAACCCTAACCACTGTCAATATGTCAATTAGTCACGAGACGATCGCCGGGAGATAATTATTAAAATACGTCAATATTATGTGAATGCCTTTGCTGCACTGTCATATAATGTACAATATTGTTCTTAAAACAATTAGTGGGTCAACTGTCTTAGCAGTTTAGAGTGCATCGACTCGGAGAGCAAACTTAATAAAATATAATTAAAATGGCTTGTACAACTGCTTTATTATAACTCCAATAAGATACTTGTTCTGAAAAGCATCGATGGATATGCAATTTTCTTTTTATTTATACACTGTCACTAAAAATAGTGAATAAGCCAGCTGAGATGTTAATAATCTAAAATATCGAATATATCAATAATCTTATACTATTATACCGGTTTCGTATGAAATTGTTTCGAACTATCCGGGAGTTTCGGATAATTAGATACGAATACAAGATGTCATACAATCCGACCCTATCCAAAATTATTTGAGACTTTTGTATAACTTATGCTCTATAATGATATTGTGTATCTTGTAGTTTCGGGTAGAACGTGCTAATACCTACTCAACGTCTTTTTTATAAAGATACGGCAAAAAAACGAGCGAGCCTTACAGTAGTCGCGTATGATGTGTAACATTTAAAACCTCACCTTATATTAGTAAAAAAATAAATAAAACCTACTACAAAAGGAATATGCCATTTGACCATTACGTTCTAAAATCAAATCAAATAGCGCGTGCTTTCGCGACTTCCTGTTACACACTTCCGTCCCATTTCACGAAATCACTCCCACAAATTGCAGGAAAGCGAGAGGAAACATGTTACGTTATGTTGTAAAAATCAGAGTAAAAAAATACAGACTAGTCTGCGTCGCAGATTCTACATCAATGAGATTTGAACTTAATGTCGTTACGAAACCAGTGAGATATGGCCTTACGAATTAATAGAACCGATGACTCATCTTAAACTGATGACTAATGTAGGTAGATAAAGTTGATACTTCCATTCCATCACGCACTAACTTAGAAGCTAAGTATATCACCATGCTTAACACATAATTTATTTATCACTTCTTCCCAAGTAACGAAATTTCGTTCTTAGTTTATAATATATCAATAACTTACATGAGAGATTTGTATTCATCCGTGTGTATTGCCTATATTTCTTCTAAAATGTAATACTTCGTTTACCATAATATTACAGGCCTCACACTCACATAATATATGAACTTATGATAACTAGTGTTTTACTAAAATTAATAAAAACTTTTTTTTTTACTTTTATTTGTAAATCTCATCTGTTTCAGTATACATACTTCCTGTTGATCACGTTCATTTTGGAGGCTGGGGCGGGCGGGTTGGCCTATTACTACGAAGTGGCCGTAGAGGAGGAGTTGCGCGCTGAGCTGAACAACACCTTCTTGTCCAACTACGCGCTCGACACCATCATCACTGACACCGTTGATAGAATGCAGGAAGAGGTAATAATACGCTGTTTGCTTCTATATTTGTAATACAGTGAAACCTTTTTATTTATTTATTTTTGTGTCTGGAAAATGCCTTACGCATCCTTCAACCACTGGGTGAGCGAGAAGAAGGTATGTGGGACTCCTCCCTGTCCTCTTCAGCCTGCCCTGGAGCTCGCTGATGTGAACAGGGCCCTACCTACGCCCTGAACAGGGCCACTAAAAACCAGACAATACTCCTGCACCGTCACCCGACACGCACTATGAGGACCGCGGTCCCCCTAGTGCATGCCGAGAGGGCGGGTGTGGTCGCGGAACCCGTCGCCGAATGGCCGCGCACCCGCCAGATGTTTGTCCGCGGACGGACCCACCCCGATGAAGATGCCCCGGAGCATCAGGGGCATCAGCATCCATAGAGCTTGTGCAATGCGAGCCTATCCCCCCCAGGACAGACTCGCGGCTCTCGCAGGAGTGAGAGGGAGAGCGTAGTTCTCTCCGTCCCTCTCCAACCCCCCCTAGGCCCTCAGAAGGGCCTTTTGAGCATCTACCTCCAATGGCAGTGATAAAGATCACTGTGGGGTGATGCTCCTAACTCCCCTGGTCCTAGAAAATGGACCGTTTCCCCAATCTGAGCCCTTAAGGGGCTCACGCTCTCCTGGTCCTAAAAAGGACCTTTCCGCCCACTGCCCTGACTAGGGCCATTCTTTGTGTTAGGGTGGCAAGAGATGCGCCCGTCGTCTTCTCCTTCCCCTCCTACGACTGCGGAGAGAGCCTGCGAAGGCCTGTTCCTCGCGTACTCTCTCCGCAGCCTCCTTCTGAGCGATGGTGTCCTCACAGAAGGACACCATTGCCTGCCAGGACCTGTCGCTCTCCAGCATGGCTTTCACCACGCCGGGTAGCGAGAGGTCCGTTCCCACGATCGCGACCAGAGCGCCGCGCTGCCGGGTCAAATACAGTGAAACCTGGATAAGTGAGAAACCTCTTTATTAAGAACTACAATGAGGTCCCGGCACTTTTTCATCGAATTACCTTTGTTAATGTGTCTTTTCGAACCTGGTTAAATGAGATTACTACTATCCGTAAATGGAATTCTCTGCCCGCTCACGTGTTCCCTCCCTCTTACAACCTGGGATCCTTTAAAAGAGGCGTGAAGAAGCAACTTGCAGGCCGGCAGGGTGAGGATGGCTGGTGTGGCAGTTAGAACTGCTGTATCAGCTATCTTCGCGTCTGGACTTCACCTTCACTTAACATCAGGTGGGGTGGAGTCTCTTGTCGGATCTATCTATAAAAAAAAAATGATTTCTAGGATTTTTTCAATGTTTACCTCTATAATTGGGACTCTGGAGCTCAATTCCCGTTATAAGTGAGACAGTTTATCAGGTTGGGCCAGGTTTCAATACGATTGTTTGTACAACTCGGCATCAAAATATGTGAATAAACAATGAACAAACATGTTCTTGTACGATTAAGCGTAGGTTTCTTCTTCATCAAAATGGTAAGAATGCATGATTAGGCCTTAATTACATTTTTTTCTTTATTTAAGTACATGTAATATTTACTAGAACGTTTACGTAATGATCAATGCACACGAGTTGTATACGACGTATTTCAACAGGAAAAGCGAGGAAAACTTTTGTATTATAAGTAACTTATGAAGTTCAACTGACCTTTGTTGCCAAGTACTGACTATTCGGAGCTTCTTTCAAAAACTTTTCAAAATCGGTTGGTGACAACATTTTTGACTTTCGATCAATATATACGACAGAACGTCGCTTTAGAAATGCCGTCAATTTATTATCACACTAATATAAAGGCGAAAGTTTCTGAGTATGTGAGTGTGTATGTTTGTTACTTCTTCACGTCTAAACGTATGGAGTTAGCTGACACCCTGGATAAACACATAGGCAACGTCTGGTATTTTTCTTTTGATTATGACAAGCACGCTGGCGAGACCAATCATTTATCTATGGGTTTTTATTATAGTCAACGAATTAGAAATGCTGTAGAATACGAATTGCGCTAAAAATTGGTTCCATGCAAACTGCGATCGAGTGGGCGGGGCAAAAAAATGCGATCACCACGCTGATGATGGGATTAGTTGGGATTTCGTTTAACATTAACTTACCCAAGGAATAGATTGCCGAATTCATTTGCAGATATTTGATTTGTCCAAATTATTTGTTTTGTCTGTGTGCGTGTCGCATTTGTATTGAAGTTTGTTTAGTTGTATGAGTTTGCATCATTTTTATTTTATTTTATTTTTATTGATTTTTTGCATGAAACCAATTTTTAGCGCAATTCGTATTCTACAGCATTTCTAATTCGTTGACTATAATAAAAACCCATAGATAAATGATTGGTCTCGCCAGCGTGCTTGTGAAATGCGGCAACAAAATAATACTACACCAAAGTCGGCGTACCCGAGCCAGCCACACTGTCAGTTGTGTATGAGGTATACGTACCGAATATTTTACAAAAAATTTGGTCATAATCAAAAGAAAAATACCAGACGTTGCCTATGTGTTAGGTAACAAACGGTCTCTAACAGTAATATTTGCTTAAATTAAATAATGTATGACTAGACCTATAGTACCATAACTTAAATTAATATTATGTTCAAACAAATTGAGTCTATGAGAAACTTCTTAGTTACTGTTTACAAAATGTTTCAAAATCTTTACAATCTACTAGTACAACATCTCGCGAACCAATTTTCTGTAATTATTATAAGTATTTGAAAAAATGTCAATATTGGTCAGGTTTTTGTTATAAAAATCAAGTGATCGCCTCAAATAAGAGTTTTTTGTGTAATTTGTGCGATATGGCGGGACATAAAATGTACTCTTAGACCGTGAGGAGGGAGGAGGAACCTTAAGGTGGATTTTATCTAACAAATTAGTGCAATCAATTCGGCAATTAACTATTTTATATAATACCATAGTGTCCAAAAAAGTACGTCTAATTTGTAATGGGGTTATGTTATATTTTGAGGCACAAGTCCTGTAATCGTTTAAAATATGTTCATCACGATAGCTTAATAATTTTAAAAACTTATTTTGTACTTTCTCGATGCGATCAACGTGAACAGCATACTGTGGGCTCCAAACCACGCTACCAAACTCTAAAATACTGCGTACGTAAGTGTTAAATAAAGTTATTAAAGTTTTTGTATTTTTGAACGGTTTCCCTAAACGAATTATTAAACCAAGTTGTTTAAAAGCACGTGATACTATATTATCAATATGAGTATTGAAGTGAAGTTTGGAGTCCAGAGTTACACCGAGGTCACGTATGAAGGAGACTCTTTTTATAGTGCTTCCAAAGAAGTTATAGTCACAAACAATCACATCAACAAGGTAAATGTAATAGTATAGCATTTATCAGTGTTTAAGAAAAGCTGATTTCTTGAACAGTAATCTTGAAATCTACTAAGATCATTTTGCAGCTCACAACAGTCATTAAGAGAGGTAATTACTTTAAAAACTTTAGTGTCATCAGCATAGAGCAGATGGTGTGAATTTAATGATCATGATCATGTTGTGCTTGTTTGTTTCCAGTTTAAATGCTGTGGTGCGGTGAGGTTCCAAGACTGGCGGCGGAGCGCGTGGCACGAGCATGACCCGCGGCTGCTCGTGCCAGACTCCTGCTGCAAGACTGTAGCCATACGGTGCGGCACGCGCGACCACCCGTCCAACATTCACTACAACGTGAGTACAAACATAGCGCGCGGGTGGCGGGGTGGCAGAGCGGCAGGGGTGCGGCACCTCCCGCCTGCTGCGAGACTGTGACCACGCGGTGTGGTGCGACCACCCGTCCAACATTCACTACAACGTGAGTACATACGTAGCGCGCGGGTGGCGGGGTGGCAGAGCGGCAGGGGTGCGGCACCTCTCGTCTGCTGCGAGACTGTGACCACGCGGTGTGGCGCGACCACCCGTCTAACATTCACTACAACGTGAGTACAAACATAGCGCGCGGGTGGCGGGGTGGCAGAGCGGCAGGGGTGCGGCACCTCCCGTCTGCTGCGAGACTGTGACCACGCGGTGTGGCGCGACCACCCGTCCAACATTCACTACAACGTGAGTACAAACATAGCGCGCGGGTGGCGGGGTGGCAGAGCGGCAGGGGTGCGGCACCTCCCGCCTGCTGCGAGACTGTGACCACGCGGTGTGGTGCGACCACCCGTCCAACATTCACTACAACGTGAGTACAAACGTAGCGCGCGGGTGGCGCGGTGGCAGAGCGACAGGGGTGCGGCACCTCCCGCCTGCTGCGAGACTGTGACCACGCGGTGTGGTGCGACCACCCGTCCAACATTCACTACAACGTGAGTACAAACGTAGCGCGCGGGTGGCGGGGTGGCAGAGCGGCAGGGGTGCGGCACCTCCCGTCTGCTGCGAGACTGTGACCACGCGGTGTGGTGCGACCACCCGTCCAACATTCACTACAATGTGAGTACATACGTAGCGCGCGGGTGGCGGGGTGGCAGAGCGGCGGGGTTCTGGCACCTTCTATTGCACTGTCATCATGCAATGATGGGGGTCTAGACATTGTCCCTTAGGCGCGGGACAGACAGAAAAGATGTAAGAGGCAAACATTCGATTGTGAGTTTCATACAAAATAAAGAAGGGTCGTGTCCACGATTTGTCTTTACTATATGTTGCGCTACGCGACGCTTCTATATGTTTTGTATAAAAAAGACGCGGAAGAGTTAGGTTTGCAACTTACGTCCTTCTGTTTGCCCCGCAACGCACATAACGCACATTATTCTTGAAAAAATGAAAAAATGAAAGTGCAGCATAATATCTTGTGTCGTTATTTTCTATTCTTTCCTTTATTGGTGCGAATTATACATAATAGCTCCACATGTCCGTACGTGGGTGGCACAGCTATGGAAGTGCGCTACTTTTAATAAAACATTATATTGTTATACTGTATCTGTATATTTATTTATTTTATTCTTCATGCACATACTGTACAATGGCGGACTTAATTCCGTAGGCATTCTCTACCAGTCAACCATAGGGTGTATAAATACTTCATGTTATACATACTTGACGACAAACTACTTAACGAAACGTCTGTTCCAATAAAAAGGTTCGCAGCTTGGTTTTAAAGGAATGTTTGTTGGGGGACATTCTAATGTCTAGCGGGAGTTCGTTCCACAAAAGTATAGTTTTGACGAAGAACGAAGAGTGAATGATATCGGAATTGTGAGATGGAACGACTAGTAAACGATTGAAAGAAGATCTAAGATTTTTAGTATGAGAGGTACATAAGTACTGAAACTGAGAAGCATTTGGAGAATCCAGCAAAGTGAACAAAGTGGTCAGAGCCCGCATACATCTGCGTTGCCTAATGGGCATCCATTTTAAGAGAGATCGGTATGCGGACACATGGTCATATTTTCTAAGATTAAAAACGAATCGAATGCAGTTATTCTGAAGTCGATCAAGCTTGTTGAGTAGATCTGCATTCAGGTTGAGGTAGCACACATCACCATAGTCGATTATGGGAAATATTAAGGTTTGCACAAGCATTGCCTTGATATTGACCGGCAAAAAATTTTTCAGGCGAAAAGGGCACGCAGTATTCCTGTTACTTTTTTGCAGACGCTACTAACTTGGTCCTGCCATTTAAAACTGGAGTCGACATACAACCCTAGGTCTTTTACAACATTGCTGAAGGGGATTGGTGTGCCGTCATAGATGATGGAACCAACACTGCCGTTGTAAATTTTGCTCATGGCCCTTGACCCACCTAATAAAATGGCTTGACATTTTGTAGCATTGACAATTACACCAAAATTGTCCGACAATGTTTTAATAGCTACTAAGTCCCTGTTTAGAGCATCAATGGCTTCATTTAAATTGTCAATACTTGTCTCGGTATATAATTGCAAATCGTCAGAATATAGATAATACGAACACTGAAGTTTGTGAGTGATAAAATCAATAAAAGTTGAAAATAGAAGAGGAGAAAGAATGCCGCCTTGGGGAACACCAGTTTCCAGACTGCGCCAGGATGAGGAAGAATCCCCAGACTGGACCATCTGCTGGCGGTCCCGAAGATAAGATGAAAACCAAGTCAACACTTCGTCAGAGACCATAAGATGAGACAGTATAGAAAGGAGAATATTGTGATTGACGGTATTAAAAGCATTGGAGAAATCGATAAGTACTAAACAAGTCACTTTACCGTTCTCCATACCCGCTCTAACATCGCCTGTCACTTTTAAAAGTGCTGTATACTACATAGTTTTCATATACATAGTTTTGAAATATTTAATAATGACTGATGCTTTACTGATTGTATTGTATGTATTACCTACTACTTTTTGTAGTACATATATAGTATTTATTTAGAAGAGAATAAATAAAAATATGATTGTTATACAAATTTTGTTATTTTTTCTCAGGGTTGTATAAGACAGTTCACCGACCACATACGAGACCACCTCATTATACTGGCGGCGGTCGGTGTGGGCATGTCCGTCATACCAATCTTCGGGTTCTTGTTCTCGTGCATTTTGTACGTAAAAATTAAACACGTGATCGACTGACCTCGGCCGAAGCCGGCGGCACCTAACACTCGCAAGGTATGAACATTCAATTATTGGGATTTTTTAATGAAAAAGGTTAAACAAATACTGTTTTAATTTATTACTGTATGTTCCAATCATCTAATAATATACTTTTTGAATATTCAAGCGCTTAAATACTTTTTTTTTAATTTACTTGGAGGTTCGGACCTATTACAGGCTCTTCTTGTGATTACGGAACCTGGAAAGGGAACGAAACGCCAAAAAAAATTAATGTGAAAAAAATGCAATAACAAGTTCTTAAAAGTGTTTTATAAAATAAAAGCAAAGACAACTTGTTTATCCAGAAGGTAAAGTTTTCTTCAGTATTCACAGAGTCAAATAAAGAATTGTTTCTATCTACAGGTGTTCGACAAGTCTGCGTCGTCCGGCGACTTAACCAAGCATCAAACAAGTTCTAACCGCCCCCGCCCCCCGCCGCGTTATAAACGACCGCGACGCCCGCCCTGCCCCCTGCACGCCGCCCCCGCCCCCGCCCCCATACACACCATCAGCGACAACCTCAGCATATAGACGTCGCCCGGCGACTGAACCAAGCATCAAACAAGTTCTAACCGCCCCCGCCCCTCTCCGCATTATAAACGATCGCGCCGCCCGCCCTGCCCTCTGCACGCCGCCCCCGCCCCCGCCCCCATACACACCATCGGCGACAACCTCAGCATATAGATGTCGCTCAGCGACTTAGCCAAGCATCAAACTACTTCTGACCGCCCCCGCCCTCCGCCGCGATATAAAAGATCGCGCCACCCGCCCTGCCCCCTTCACACCGTCTCCGCCCCCTTCACACCGTCTCCGCCCCCTCCCTCATACACACCATCAGTAACAACGTCAGCATATGGACGTCGGCCGGCGACTTCATCAAGCATCAAACTTCTTCAGATCGCCCCCGCCCTCCGCCGCGATATAAACAATCGCGCCGCCCGCCCTGCCCCTTCACACCGTCTCAATCTCCGCCCCCATACACACGTCATCAGCGACAACCTCAGCATACAGACCTGATTTCCAACTGAAAACACTCCCGCAAGGTTTAAATTGTCCGTGCCGTGGGTGTATGAATGATGGATACGTAATAATTTAAAAAAATGGGTGCGTGTACTTATGTAGGCGCGTGAGAAGTTATCCTTCTTTGGCATCGTTTAAAATTAGTTTTTAATTGCATGCAAATAATTAATTACAATAAATTAATAAAAAGTCTGGAAAAGGACACAGTCAATAAAGTTCAGTTTTAATTTGAAAAAATAAATAAATAATCAAAATATTCAATTAAAATGGCTACTGAATATAATTTATTAGAACATATGTGATTTGCACTTGTATGAAACTCAAACACGTATTCCGAATATACAAACTAGAAACATGTGCATAAATATTATAAATATGAATACCTATAACTATTACTTTATTACAAAAAATAAAGATGTGGTTTTTGGTTCTACTACACCAATGGTCAAGAGATGGCGCTGTAGTCTCCTGAATCGCGCTTTGGTTCCGTTTGTCCAGATTAATAAATACTTTTGATAGGCCTTCACAATGCAGTCGTTAGCACCCACTAAATAGAGATTCTATTTCTATTTTGTTGGTAGATTTTCTTAATGTGCGGTAAACACAAAAGTGTTACAGTGATGCGCGCGCATCTTAAAATTTCACTCTCATCATTTTTTCATAACGCGCCTAAAGAAGTATAACTTCAAAAAATGTTTCGTCTCATGCTGAGGATTTGGAAAAAGGTTTCTCCTTTAAACACAGCAGAAAAACAGACTTACCACCTTAGGAATAATCAGCATTCGTAACTTCTGTAACCAGTTAGTAACTAAGCTAAACTAATTGCCCACTCTTGATACCAGTATCCAAACTGGAACAGATTGTGAAATAATATCTAATCGAATCAAACATTATTTTCATGTGTTCATCGTTACACTATTTTAGACGTTAAAAAAGAATTATACTTAGCCGGTAGTTAAGTAGAACATGACCGAATTTATATCAAAATGTATCTAAGTCATACTTTTGAAAATAAGTTAGTTAAGATTCGTTAGTTGTATATTACTTAAAACAAAATAAAGGCCAACTTCAAATCATACAAAATCTAAACTCACATCCATCGCTCAAACAGTGACTTAAGGCCCAAGCACGAACTTTGACAGCTCTGAAATCGTAACACCATCTTCAAATTGTATATGGACGGAGCCAGTTTGTTCCGACGTCCGGTAGGGATGCTGCTTAGGTTTCATAGAAACTGACGATGCGATACTATTACTAAACTGTCAAAATTCCTGCTTGGGCCTCTGTTTGGTCATCTGTGACAGTGTTGTACTTAAACGTTTGCACCGCGAATATAGCTTTTTTTACAGAATAAAGCGTCATGAATGCCATATTAAGAAATTAGATATGAGATTGTAACATTTCTCGGTCTTGAATAATGTTACAATCTCATACCTTTTTTTATCAAAAAGTTATCAATGACTTAGTGAATGTTAATAATTAAAAACTGACCATTAAATATATTAAGGTTTTAAATAATCAATGCGATTCGCTTATTTCAAAGATAACATTAAATGTGGTCCTTATTTTGTTTTATGTAGCACAATATATGTTTAAGGTGGTGCTATATTTTGTCATAATGTAGGCCATTGTGTACTTGACATGATAAGGCACATCGAATGAGAATTATTGAGAACAATGGCATATTTTTTTAAATATTAAAAGTTATGGGTTCATTTATAGGCAGCTGTAACATAGATATGTAAAAATTACAACAATAGGAATTAATAGAGTTTAGAAATTTTCCTGGCACTCAGTGGCTTAATACTTTTCGGTCTTCTGGTATTGCCACCCATTAGAAGAATATCCAAGATTTTTTTTATTTTCTTAAAGTATTTTTTTGGTATATGTACCCAAGTACGGGAGTTCAGGTATTTTAAAAACTGAGATTGAAACCTTAAAACCACTTTTTGTAACACTCTTCACAAATTATAATATTTTTGTACCCAATATTTTACGATTACAAATTTGCTACTATGTACATAGGTACCAATTATTTATTATTAAGTACAAAATATTACATTACTATTTTCTAATTCAGTTCAAACAATGTAATTACCGGAAGAAAATAATGATTATTAGAAAAAATTCAAATCGACCCAGGTTTCAGCCTAGAATCCAACCAGTGTGCTTCGCTATCCGGGCAAATACACTAACTATTGTGTATTTGTGCAATTGAGACTCAACGAACGTGTCGAATTTGTTCTAGTATATCTCAGGCTACATGACCTGTAAAAAAGGGTAACTAATAAAATAAGCATACCTCAATGAATAGGGTATTTGACAAGTTTTAGAAAACGATCTCACGTTATTGACTAATGTTTATGGAGTCCGTAAAAAGTAGATATTCAGCATTCTGTTGTGTATTTCAGTAAAAATAACCAAATCAAAAACTCTATTTTCAAGTTGCCGCGAAAATGTTTCTCTGGACAATATGGTGTGTGACGTCACACGACTGTTATTAAAACGTCAAACGATTCAATGTAATGTCACTTTAGCCGGTGAACCGGTAACTTGCGTGTGACGTTATTTTAGGCTCCGCCAATCCCAAGCGTTTTGGGTCACGTGACAACAGATAAGAAAACTATTATTATCTTTTTCGTGGGTTTTTAGTAAAATTACGAATGTTTTTTTTTTGAAAAATAGTAAAAACCGCTGCCAATATTCATTCTATACACAGATGCTAACAATTGGCACTTTATTTACAATACTGTCAAATACCCTATTACATCAGGTTAAATACGCATTATATACTTATTTCTTACATATTGTTCTAATCACGCCTGTAATTTAATTAATACTAAATTGAGTGCAATAATGATTATATTATCTTTGTAATAACGCACCATTCTCCAATCCATTAATAAGAAATATAATGTGTAATTTGCAACGATATAATGTCGTTGGTAATTTGCTATGTCTAAAGCTAATATTGGAGGAGCTGGCGAACAAAACGGTATGATTACATCAAATTAGATTTAACAGGAGCTGTATAAAACTGAATGACATACATCCAGTGAGCTTTGGCATGGTTTTTAATTTATAAATTTAACACTGTTTTTTTATTTACCTCATCATTTATAAGGAATTATTTTTGTTCGGATGCCGTTATTGTTCTTTAAATAAAAAAGAAATAAAATTTGGATGCTTCTCACGCCCGCTCCGCCATACGTCATATTCGTTTTCCCGGTAAAAATATGATAGCATACAGTACAATATGGCGTCGGATTCGTGACGTCATTACCCCTGCCAAGTATACTGATGTATATTTCGGAATACACCCTATACCTCTATACGATATGATTTTTACCTAACTCCTCCCCTGCCCCCGTTCAAGCCGCATGTCAATAATGGGCGATCACTTACTACTACTATTTTTATTAAATTTAAAATGATAAGCGATTCAGCGACCGGTCCGATTCAAGTGGTAAACATCATTTTTTTTCTCTATTGTAATAAAGTTTCGTAATATTAATCAAATGGACATAATGGCCTTTTATATAAATTAATAGCTACGTACTTAATATACCTATAATCACAACACGCAATCAATGTTCTCTGGCTATAACAACAACTTTATATTGCGTCGAGTGCATGGTCAAAGCCATGGAAAAATCGTATTGTTGGTCTATCCTTAAAGCTCTTTGAGAGTTTACACGCGTTTCAAACTGACAACATCTTTAGAATCACTAATATTAGAAACCACGTCGTAAAACAGAAGTTATTTATGATTCCAACTTAAAGAATTGTTTTTTTTTTATTTGTATTCGCTTTACCTGTTCTTTTATTCGCTATTAATTTAAGGTGTCCATTGGCCTATGATTTATTGAAACAATACAAAAACTACAAGCGCTTTTAGTAAAAAAAAACAAAATATACTTAGTATTTTTGAAAGCCTTGTGACGATAAGTACTTAACCGCGAACCTTAAAAAAATATGTGCGTACAAGCAGGTTATTTTGACCATGAAAGGCAGCAAGTTTATGTATTAACCAGATAATATAATAATATTATAAATACATCACCTATAAGTTAACCCAATTTAGGTCATACTTACCCCCTAGGATCAAAAAAAATAACCCGCTTATACCTTACTTAATTAAAATTAAAAATAATTGTCAGGCTTACATATGTTATTATGTTTTAGTGTTAGACATACCAAATCGATGTCCTTCAATCATAGGTCGGTATTCGAAATAAAGTTTTACCGCAGTTTTACAAACCATTGTAAAACTGGTTTTACAGATTGTCTGTTAATAAATTAATGAGTTAAGTAGAAAATACATATATTTTCAAGTGCCTTATTAATAATATTTGTAGATAATATTTATTGATTAATTATAATCATCACTGCTTTGAATAGGTAATATCAATAGGTACTTATTGTTTGTAATAAAATCCGTATTTTTGTTATGCTTGAATGGGTTGATTTTCAACGGCCTAAGTATACCGATACACGTATAAGCAACTGTTGACATAAATCAACAGGCTTTTTATATACCTGTCTTTTAAGTACCTACGTGACCTATATTTTATTTTATTACTGATACTATTTTCAACCATCAGTATAAGTATTGTTTCGACGACCTCCATGGCCGAGTGGTTTGTACGCCGGGTTTAACGGTGTCCCCGACTAGAGAGGTCCCAGGTTCAAATCCCGGTGGG